TTAAAAAAGGGACATAGAAATGGAAGCCTACTAGTAATGAAACACACCTGTCAGCATGCTACATGGCAAAAACCCCTTGTTTTTTCCTTTGATGACTTGGAAGCCATCGTTCCTGTGTTCACACTTAAAACCCTTCTGTCTGTTTGCAATATCCATGTTTGATGAACACAGTGAAACCTAATTTACATGCTAATGCAATGAAACACATGCAGAGTAAGACTCACCTGCTAACACATGCATTGTTTGGGCCACACTAGTACAGACTGAATGACAGGTAGCTTTAATCCTCAGAGTGGTTTGCAGAGCTGCTCAAGATTTGATCTCTCTACAAATATCTCCCATCCATCTCTCAGATGATGTCAGTATTTCCTTTAAATTACTGCTGAGTTACTTTTTAATTTAATCTCTCATCCTTTTGTATATTAACCACTGATTAATTTTTCAAGATCAGGTGTTTCGCAGAACGTAGATTTAAGCTTTACCCGATTAACCGTTGATGCAATAGTTTTATTATTCAAAAAATACAAACAGTTATCATCTGTCCTGTGAGTGCAAGAGCATAGTGTGGATTTTCTGCAAACATTTTCATGTAAAGACATTCTGGGAGTACCCAAGTGGATCTGCCTTTATTAAGTCTGTATCAGGCAATCACCCATTACACTGCAGTCAGCTGATCAGTATGGATCAGCACCAAAGCACATATTAATAGCAAATAGGATTGAAAATGCATACTGATGGCTAAGTTGCTAAAAGCTCAGTTAAGAACTCATAAGCAATTAATCACTAGCATTACTCTTTTTATAAAAAATGCTTGGTTTCAGGGTACTGCAGCAGAAAGTGCTGCCTGAAAATATTGAGAAATCATTTGTATACAGACGTCATGAGTTAATAAATCTGTTCTGTTCTTCATCCTAAATCATCACCAGCTCCAAGTCATAATGTAAGAATCTATGCAAAAGGGTAGAGTATGAAGTCCTGCTGCTTTGAAAAGATGGGCATGCTTCTGGCACACTGTATTTGTTTTTAGCTTTACTCTCTCCTTTTAAGATTTGTTCATGTTTTGCCAAGTCACCATTAGATTTATTAGTCACATACAACAACAGAAGGTGAGTCAGTACCCTGATATCCTATTTGTCCATACAACTGTTTGACCAGTATTTTATGTCAGAGAGTTACTGGCCATACATTACATTAATAAAATATTAGTGGAAATGTACCAAGCATCCATACTGACCATCTCTGTCCTTCTCTTGCATTCAGTATAGCATGCCTAGCATGACAGAAAAAAGCAGGAAAGAACAGAGTTCAGCCTGAGCCTGCAGAGAACAGTGAGGAGGTTCCTGGTACTACCTTGATTTCTATCATTTTCCTGGCTGTTAAGTTTCTGCTTTTCAGAAAGTATTCTGTATTCTAAGTTATCTAAGAAATCTTTATTTCATTGGAACTTGGTGATTCTCATTTGTCTCAAGGTTAAGGGCCAGAGATCTGTGCATGCTTCTCTTCTACAGCACTGTTGAAAACCTGAAGTTGGTTCTGAGGTCAAAATATCACCTCAATTGAATAATTTATCTCCTTTTTAGCTACAACCAACACATCCTGACTGTCCATATAATGGAGGAAACAATTTTCTGCATTGGGCTCCACCTGTCTTCTTACTACTAAGAAAAGATATCCTCCTTATATTGCTGGCCTATCTTCTTGAACCCACACTTCCAGGCTCTATTGCTTCTCTCATGCAGAGAACTTTGAAGCGGATTCCCCTTTGTGCGTTGATCAAAAAGATGAAGAGAAACAACCTTTCCACTACAAGACTTTAGTCAGCTAAATATAAAGAGAATCCAATACACCACTCCATTATCCATGTATTTCTAGGGTATTATTTTAAACAAGGGAAGTGCAGGACAGAAAATAAAGCAGCCAGGTAGAGAGGCAGAGCAAAACAAAGAAGCACAGCAGCTTAACATAGAAATACTGCTGAGGTAAGGCAAAGTTTATCAAATTCACATATCAAATTACATCACAATTACATTACCGTGCTCAGTTTCAACTACAGCTCTCAAGCCTTTCCTTTGTAAAAAAATAATAATTGATGTTTTTGAAACATAAAATGCAAACATTAAGCCCATCTGGATTTCTTCACTGTTTAGCTGGGGAAAGCATTCATACTGTAGAAGTTCCAGCTTAACCACTTAAGTAGTTGTTCCCTTCTTCTGGACACCAGATAATTTCATTGTCCATTTGCATGAGATTTATTTCCTCAGGACCTGTCATTCATACGAGGATGCACTTTTTCCCTATTCCAAAATCGTGAAAAAAACACGACAAATGAAACAGCAGGGACAAGCAGCAGGTATATTGACTTTTTCATATTTACTTAATTGTTGTAGGGAAGGTCATGGTAAACATTTGGTTTAAAATGATAGTTCAATGAAATAATGGTATGCACATGCCTGCTTCTATCTTTTAATAGGAGCTTTTTGAAGCAGTTGGAAAACATTAATGGAAATAAGCAGAATAAAGAAATGCTAGTATCTCTGTCCAATTCGAGTTCTGGAATCTCGGTATTTCAAGTGAACGGAGAATCTAAATCCTGCAAGTGCAATGACTGCGAACACAGTCATAGACTTGATCATGAGCAACAAGAACACGGGTAGAGAGACTATGTTTTCAAGTAATGGGACTGGCAGGGAGAAGGAACCACTAAAAACATAAAACCACAGAGACAATAAAAAAAAACGCCAAACCCACCAACACCAAGACAAAACTTAACAAGTATTTTATTAATCCAATAGTCCAAACCTAACTTTTTTGCTTTTATCTAGCTTTTTATTTATTTTTTTTTCCTAAAATAAAACCTGGATTAAATGAACTTTTAAACATTTTACCTATAATGAGAACAATAAAATATAAAGAAGATACTGAGATAGATGATGGAATGGCAGCTTTCCTGGAAAAAAATAACTAGCAAAGGAAAAAGATAACCCAGTTAAAATCCAGTTCTGCCACTGTTGCCCCTGTCATATGATACAGTTAGGCAGAAATAAAGGTGTGGCTATACTTGAACCAGCTCTTCTGTAATTGCTTGGGCAATAATGGTACTCAAGATACAGTGCTGTGATTTGGCACAGAGTAACCATATGTTAACATCAAGTGAGGCCTGCTTATAGGTGCTACAGAAATACCCTAACTAAAGAGAGCAAACAGAGTTCAAGTGATAAAGCAAGCACTCATACACTTCCAGGGGACAAGGAAAATCAACAGTCCTTTACTCTATTGAAGCTAACAGTGCTATTTTCCATCACTAAGAGATGTGTTTGAAAAATCAGCAAAGGCCTCTATAATTGTTTTGAAAACAAGAGAAGAAATAGAAGAAACAGGTACAAAATAGAGAAGAAAGGCCAAAATTATTTTTATTTCACAACACAGAAGAATTAAAAAGGAAGGTGTATTGAAATAAAGAAAAGCATTGAAGGAAAATAAGGAAATCCAACTCTTCAGTGTACTGAAATTACTTATTCCACTGTTGCCTTTTTCCATGACATTTTATTGATGACGTTTCATGGATCATCAATAAAGTAACATTATAAAAAGCCCTAGATTTTTATTTCCTTCTGGTGTTTGTGCTAGATTGACAGTAACTAGTCCATGTTAAAGGGGAAACAGTTCAGCTTGAAGACTTGATGCAAGAGCAAGGGGAGAAAACAATTAAAAGAAGATCAATAATAATGTGTTAACTTTGAAAGGAACACCGAGTGAAATAAACAAATAAATAATTAGTTTAAGGATAATAGTGTTTTCAAATAGTATTTAAAAGCAAATGGACTACTTCTGTTACCAAGAAGATTGGGCATTTAACAGCAAATAAGACAGCGAGGCATTCAGCTTCCAAACAATAAAAGGTGACAGTTAATATTACACTAATTAGCCACAGGCATACTGCTGGCTTTTTTTTTTTTTTTATTAACACTAATAAATGAGCTCATAATACTGATCAGAAGTGGGGTTTTTTTCTCCCCATATCTCACAAAAGAACTTCTGGTGACAAGTACTATGATACATATGGTAGAAACAACCAACTGTGGCCACAGAGATGTTTTCTTAACTGATGATTAATATATTCAGGAAGCAATCACACTATTCATTAGTAAAAGTTTACAAACATTAAAAAGTGCATAACATTTGAAACCAACAACAACACAAAAATATATATATTATATATACTATATATAAAGAAAGTGACATCACCTCCAGTTAATAAAAGAAAACAAATCTTCTGACTTTGTGATTGGTGCTTATGTGATTGCCATGGTTTACTACTCAGTTACTACTCACCTTACTCATACAGACTATGCTCCATTTTGCAGTATTGAGCTTCATGTATGGCCTTGTCTATTGGGGTGGGATGGGGGAAGGAAATCAGTCAGCATAGCTACTGCAGAACAGATAATTAATTTGAGGATATTTTAAGTAACATTTTAAGTAATCCCCAGGATGGACAACCTATCCTGGTATTTCAGTGAATGTCCAGTTTGGACTGTTGTTTTGGAACAGATGAAATTAGAAAAATCCAGTCTTTTGGGTGCTAGATGCCAAGTGTCTCACTTCCCTCTCCATATCCTAGCCAAAAGGCTGCTGTACCACTTCTAGCACTTCACTGTACCTGCTGTAACAGAGTACTGAGTGTGCAAACCCAACAGACTGATCAACTGAGGCAAAGGGAAGGAATAGAATAAAATAGTCTCCCTGACTGGATCCAGCCCAAGATCCAGCAGTTGGTCTATCCTGCAATCTAAAACTCATTTCAGAATACATAATTGGCAATAACCTATGCCAGTTATTATCCTGTGTGTAAACAGGGCCCATCTTTAACAATGTGAACCAGGAAAATCTCTAGCACCATGGAATTTTTAAAAATTTTAACCTATATAAGGTTATAAATGTATTCTTAAAACTACCATAATATTAAAATACTTGGACTAACACGTAAAACAAAATATCTCGGAGAAAGGTTAAGAAATTGGAAGTAAAATTAGAAAAATGGGGAAGAAGAACATAGAAGATTAAATTTGCGTCTCTGATATGCAACTAACTACAGGCAAGTGGCAAAACTGTACCAAGGACACAAAAAACACTGAACTATTCACATTAACAAATCATTTTGAAGGCTCATCTAGTAACAAATTAAGAGTGTTGCTGAGTAATTTAGGTTTAGGCATGATCAATTTAGCAGTTGACTTTTTAAATCTATCGTGCACATCACCACATTATGCAAAAAAACAGCCCTTTCAAAATGCGTGGTAGAAAAATTCACAGTAACAGAAATATTCTTCATAAGCAGTTGAGAAGGGGCAGTGTGGAGCATTTAAGTTGTACAATACAAAAAACATTGTAAATAACAGCTGTCAAACAGACTCAAAATTCTAAAAACAGTGCTTTCTTTACAGTTCTTTTAATGGGTGAACACTTTGGCCAGAGAATTTTAAACTCTGAGGATCACATAAGCCTTTGCTAAAGATACACAATTAGATCCTCTAACATTTCAAAGGCCATTTGCTACAAGATTTACCTGTTCTACCTTCTAGAAGTGTTCCCATCAAGTAGTCATTATGAAGGGATCCATCTGATGACACTATCCCAAAAAATCAATACATGTTCAACCATTGCTAATGACAGAGGTAGAGAAAAATCTGTCTTCTGCCACAGCTTGTACCCCCATTTTTAGCATTGTGTTGAATGGGTTCCAGCAGTGAAGACACATGCACTCTCTTTTCCACCAGCTTGCTCATGGAAACAAATTTGTTCCAGCACGCGCTTGTAGTCTGAAAACATCCAGCAGCTGTTCCAGTCGGTCAAAGTTGGATGTCAGCTTTCTTGCTTTGCTGTCTCCCCTTGGGCCTCTCCCGTTTGCTCAGTTGGATTTCGTTGTGCATCTCCTTCTCCTTCTATAAGACACAAAGAAAAGTCAACTGTTCCATCCTAATGCAAACAGGTCTTGCTCCCAGAACCCCAACTGATCATTCACCGGTATCAAAAACAAAGCAAGAAGAAACTGAAATTGAAATCTTGCATTAAATATGAAACCTTATACTACAAAGACAGCCATACTTCACATCTCAAGAGGTACCTTCTAAAACAAATTTCTATCTGCAACCCCCACTATCATTTTGAGTACAGAAATGTAGAATTTAACAAAAACAGCAGGGTATTTTTGACAATATATTCACTACGATACTATAATAATATAAAACAAAAAAACCTCATTACACCAAGTCTGAGCAGAGTTTACTATAAAGAGATGCAGCTTCAAATAAAAGCAATAGTTTGTTAAAGCTGTATTCATTCTTTGCATACGTTTTCAGTCCCATGCCCCAGGGCTTTCAGTCCAGCTGTCTCACTGCAAATCACAGAACGATCTGAGGAATAGAAAACATCTTACAGTGGCACAGTGAGCAGACAGCTTATAAAGCCTGTTGAAAGCAGGCTAAGTGCATCGAGAATGGTCTACTAGTATCGATATGCAAAGTATTGTATTTCACCTAACAATTGAAGTCCTAGTAGGTTCAGACAGCTCAAAGCTAAGTGCAAGTAAGACAGAAGACCCTGAACACTGGACTAATTACCTATAGGTACGTAATGTTAGGAAAAGAATAATGTTAAGGTGTAAGTTGTCTCTTGTATCTTGCAAGACTTCTGAGTAATTTATAATGAACTGGCTTGACAATAGCTAGGAGAAAAAAATTCCATGGACAAAGCTATAAAGAAGTTTAAGTAGAGGTAGCAGTGTTTCTTTAATCTATACATTTTTAGAATAAAAGTGGGATTCTCAATTAATTTATTTATTGTTTCACCATTTAAAATCACACTGTACATCTGCAGGTTTATTTCTGTTCATGGAAATAAACACCATAAACACCTTCTCTTTTCTATACAGAAAAACCCCCACATTGCTAATAGAAAAAAAGTTATTTGCATTGCAAAGAGCATTGCAAAAAGCTCAGACATGATAGCTGTGTTTTGTGTGCATACTGAGTATTTAGGCAGCAAAATACCTCTGAGGGTATTGGTTATTATCAAATTGAACCTGATGAAAAGCTGCATGGAAGGTTGATTAACCCATTAAACAGTGAGGTTTGTGAGGTTTGCTCTATTCGTTATGGGTTGAGTAAGAAATAAAAATTTGTTTTGCAAGGCACTTGCTCAGAAAACTCTTTATTTCTTGCTTTTATTTCCCACATTATAAAAGACTCCATCAGGATGGATCTACATGCAGTTATTTCCCATTGGACAGAAATCCTTTTTACCCAAGCTGTCCAAACACTTTCTACAAAGCCTCCTACTTTTGGTCTGATACTGCAGAAGTCCAGATGAACGGAATCTGATTTTTTAATTCCTTTTTTTTTGTCTGCTCCATACTCTATTAATTTTAAGTATTAGGAAGCCTTTAATGTCCCTTATACTGTCTGATAGAGTCAAGCTTTCCTGAAAGAATTCCTGAAAGAAGTTGGATGAGCAACTTGATCTAGTGGGAGGTGTCCCTGCCCATGCAATGGGGTTGGAAGTAGATTATCTTTAAGTTCCCTTCCAACTCATACGATTCTATGATTCGATGATTAAAAAACTCAACAAACCAAAAGCAAAAAACCCAAACCAAACAAAAAAAAACCCAATTCAACAAAAAACCAACAACAAACAAAAAAACCCAAAAAATCAGAAAAATGAAGAGAGAAAAAACTTTGCAAGATATTTGTGTTTAAAAGGAAAATAATCCTGGACACAAAACCCAAACATATTACCATCTGATTCAGAGAAAGAGCACTAAGGTTCTAACAATAACATTCTTAAAAGATTTTCTTAACTCAGTGAAAAATCTCACTGGTCTGAATCCATTTAATCTATAATAGACTGTCTTGGTACTGCAGACTTTGTCTTTTTGCTGGCAGAGCTCTCCTACCAAAGGCCTTAAAATATGTTTACAGAAAGAATTCTGCTTCTAGGTTCTGAGAATCTCAAAATTGCCTAAGTACACTCTTCAGCTATTCTTCCTTCAAAACATGATGGCTACAAGCTCTTAAGAGTTGCAGTTCTTACACCGTGATTTGTAATCAACAGGAAGTATTCATAAATCCCAAAACCTCAAACCATAACAGTTACGTGAGTTAGTAAGCTAGCAACAGTTTCTAGTTCTGCTAAGGTGAAGGTTTTACCAGATTTTCTTCCTCTAATATTAAGGGCTCTTTAGTTCTCCGTGTTCCCAATGCTTACACCTGAAACATTTCTACCATGAAGTAAAATAATTTTCAATCCAAAATTTCTACCATCAGTCCTTCATTTCAGTGCCATATGACTTTAAAATGGGGGTTATAGCTGGTCGGACCATTACAACTTTTACCAGGAAGTCTCCTTCCCACTTCTGTGCTCAATCTGTGTTCTGTGGCAAGTCTGCAGACACCTAGAAAATCAGCAGCTTACTTTAGAGATTAGACTTGCAGAGACTGGTTGTCATTCTTTATTGCACTTTTTCCTTACTATGTTACTTAGTTATGAATGAACTAAAGCTTCTTGGAATTGCATTGGTTCCCTTGAGCGTTGAAAACGTGAGCTACCTGCCGATTCCATATTAAAGACCCTCTTGCTTTCTGTCTGATCATTTCTGTTGCAGTGTTCTACTTATCAGAGGTACACAGTATTGCTTTTACTAAATTTAGAAACAATGTGTTGCCAAAGGGTATTTGGAACCTGTATTTTGAAAGTCAGATACACATCCATTCCATAACCATTAGCAGGTTGTTAGCTTATTATGGACAAAGAACATTGGAACAGTTGTTTAGAAGGGAGAGTATTATACAGTAAATATATGTATTATATATAATTATGCATAAACTCTTGATTATCAGTCACTGGCTCATCAATGAGAGGACTAATGTATCTGCAGGCTTTTCAAAGTGAACATACTAAATATGCTTGGGTAGCTTAATTTACATATGTTTTATAACAATCCCTTTTTAAAATTCTTTTTTAATCAGCATTTATTCTGCCATTACTCTATACAGTTGAAAGCAAATGCACTCGAACTTTTCCAAGAAAATGCATATTGCTTTAATAAGAACAAAAGAAAAAAAAAAAAAGAAAACTTGTTATCTACATTGGTATAATTAGGTAGTACTTAGCATACATTTTTTGACATGCACCTTGAAAGAAGAAGGATATAACCACCAAATGTGTGTTTTCCTCTTAATCCTGTCAGGTGTGATGCTCAATGCCTCTGCCTTAGCCTCTGAGCTGCCTTAGCCCCTGAGCTACAGCAAACCTGCAAGAGCATGGTGTAGAAGTTCTGGGGCAGTTTTTCTGTACTGGAGCATGCCCAAAGAAGGGCAACAAAGCTGGTGAAGGGTCTAGAGCACAACTCTTACGAGGAACAGGTGAGGGAACTGGGGCTGTTTAGATTGGAGAAAAGGAGGTTGAACATTATCAGTCTCTACAATTACCTGAAAGGAGGCTGTAGCACAGTGGGGGTCTGTCTCTTTTCCCAAGTAACAAGTTACGGAAAAAGACGAAATGGCCTCAAGCTTGCCAGGGGAGGTTTAAATTGGATATTAGGAAAAATTTCTCCCCTGAAAGAGTTGTCAAGCATAGGTACAGGGTAACCAACAGTGGTTGTCACCATCCCTGGAGGTATCTAAAAGACATGTAGATGTGGTACTTAGGGACATGGTTTAGCAGTGTTATGTTAATGGTTGAACTCCGTGATCTCAAAGGTCTTTTCCAACCAAAACAATTCTGTTCTATTCTACAGTTCTACATATGCATCCCACAAGCACTAGTATATTCTGAACTGGAATTTGGGATGCAAAGTATTTTTTAGCCTCTCTTTTGTATGGAAAGACATGATGGGATAGTTCACAAGTACCTGTATGAATTATAGTATAATGCATTTTCCAGCATTTGTGGTTTGGAGGCTTTAATCTGGCACCTAAGTTTACTACTAATGCAAAATTCAAATATATTTTCAGTGTATCTCATTCAAACTGCATAACCTCCTGAAGAAACATGCAGGGATTTTTGTGTATCTACTACATAAGGTAATTTTATTAGCAACTGTGTACATTTCTGCAATGATGAAGGAACCCAAACTTCAAAAGAGGTCTCCAAGAAGAAACCAAACTACAGAGCTAACTGCATGTACACAATGCATACCAACATAGATTACAGGCAAAAAGTCACATTCTTTCTATAGCTCACAAAAAAACACAGTTCTGGCTTAAATCACTTCAACAGACTAACTTAAAATTAGGGATCGTTTTCTATCTTCTACATGGACAAGATCAAAGACAATGTTGATAAGTGTAAATTTGAGACTTAAGTAAATTATAGCAATAAGGAATGTTGGCATTATGCATTTCAAATGCCACCTACTTCGTATTTTTCAACATTTTACACATATTCACACATTACAATAAATAGACATGCCTACGCACATACTAATAAAGCTTTTCTTTTTAAGTAGAAGTAAAAATAAAGGCCTAGCCCAGCTAGAACTGCATGCACCTAGAAGCTATAGGTTCCACACTGACAACTGCAGAAGGGACTTAGGACATACATTAGTCCGAAAGCAAAAAAGAATCCCCCTCTCCAAACAGACTTACAACCACCCAGACTCATGCTGCCCACATCTGACTGTCCAGTGATGTGACTGCCTCTCAGATCTCTTGTTGTTGTCTCTGAGAAAAGTATGTGCACAAACAGGGCAGCTGCTAAAGAACAGTTTGTTCTTTGCTGCATTTGTTTTCTTCATTAAAATAAGCATAAGACCACTTTCCTAAAATGTGAAAAGGGCTTTCAGATATTTCTAAGATCCATTCATTAACCTCCACCCACATAACATGAAAATAATTAAACAGGTATAGTCCTGTTTTTAGTTTATGTAAGGCCCTTCACTATACACTGTCCCTCCTTTTTTATCAACTGAGGTGCACACCTAGCTTAAATTTTTTATAATATTGGAGGTGAAGTAAATTTTAGGATTGCATTAGTGCTAATAACCTTAAAAGGAGGACAAAGTACCAGGAGAAGGGGTAGAGAGACCAGTTACCCAGAAACAAAGATCTAAGTATAACAAAACAAAGCCATACATTGCTATTGCCCTGTCCTCTTGCAGCTAAAAACAAAGTAAATCTCCACAATCACCTTTTCAAGCAGACACATGGCTTCTCCTACAGGCTTCAAGCTATAAAAAGCTTCCATTAAATGATATTATGAAGAATTAGATTTTACTAAATATTTCTCTATTTTCTTCCTTGTATTTGATTTTCCATAAAATTTATCCTGAGAGGGACCCTGCCACTAGGCACTCACTGTAGAATGACCTTTCTTTTTTCAGCAATATGTTGTACTTGCAAATAATGACCCTTCTTGTTTATGAAATCTGGGCTTCTTATTGCAGGCAACCCCTGCTGATCTTCCATTATCAGAAAAAAAATATTACTGCTGCTGAGGGACATAGGAATAATGCATGCACGTGAATTTAGTTTTGAGTACTACTCTTTTTATTTTACTTTTAAATAAATATAATAAAAGACCAAAATGTACTCACCTGATTTGTTTATGTCAAGCTCTGATAACTTTAAGGATAGTTCACTAGAGTTCCCACCTGGAGAGGACACAAGTATGTCATGTAACGCATTTCTTCTACCTGTTCTTCCTGAAGCAATAAAGTCTGCATATGTAGATTCCACATCAGTCATTGCTAACAAGTATCCACATAGCAGTACCTGGATGGGAGAAAAAACCAAACACTTAGAACACCAGAAAAACAGATGATATTATGGAACAGGAATAGAAAAAATTGAGTGACCTCATAGTGGAGTAGATTGACCATACAGTAAGAAGCAAAAGATTATGCCTCAGTCTCAAAATTTAGAGAAACTGGAGAAGAAACAGTAGAAAACAAAAAATCTGTGCGGATTTTATGCAATCTGTATTCAACAATATCTTAAACAACTTCATTTTCCATACTTCAAAAAGTGCTAGTGAGTACTTTATAAAAGCAATGACCTCAGCAACATAATTTCTTTAGAGAGCTGTCTCTTCTTTTAATATTAGCTGGGAAGTAGGAGGTAGGTAGGGGGTGGAAGAAAGTTCTTTTCTGCACAAAATGCAGAGCATAAGGAATAAGAAAGTACAAATTGGTAATGCTTTTGCATGCAGAACACCGTGCTCATACACAGGCACAGCTATGTTCTGTGTATTTTCCTTTCTGTTAGCATGATTGGTTTTGGCATTGTATATAGATCTTGTCAGACTCAACAAATTTATTTTGGTGTGGTAGCTGCACCAAAGTGAAGGCAGAATATAAAGTCACTGTAATGAGTGGAGACATGTGAACAAAGCAAGCTGAAGATCCAAACAATAATGCAGAGATTATAAAATTATGCTCTGTAAGCAAACTATAAACTCATAACTTCTATTTCAAAACAAATTATTTCTCATGTTATTATGGAAAACCCTGACCATATGAATTAACGTAAGATCTGCCAAAGACACAAGCAAACTCTTCTTTCTTACAGAGCTGTAACCAGAGCTCAAGGAGGGGGATGGAAAAGGCACCTTCTCTTTCTGATCATTCTGCTTTTACTGTAGTTCCACTTGTAGTCTCAAAGGTTTTCTGCAAAAAGCTAGGCTACTGTGCTTCAAAAGTAGCTTCCCTCATGTTCTGTGTTTGGATGTAGCAGAGGATTCAGGGAAGCATTCTGCTAGAGCAGACTCCAAAGAAAAGAAACACTAAACAAAACCAGTACTCCCAAGCATGCAGCTTGGGAGTATTTCTACAGTTTTGCATATTGCAGAGAAAGGACACAGGCATAACAACAACACTGCACAGCTGCACACAGTGCTTAAGCTATTATTACTGAAGTAGCTGAAACTTCACATTTACATAGAGTGTAACAAATCTTTTTAATCAGTTCCTACTGCTGTTTCTGGACACTGAAGGAGCCCCTGAAGTCATCACAAACAATAACGGCAGGAAAAGCTTCAGCTTTCTCTCTAACTAAAACCCCCTCATTTTAATAAACACTTTTCATTTTAAAAATAGATACATGAAAGACAACAGCCAACCCTTCACCACCTTAAACTATGAATAACTTCATAAATCCTGTCCATCCTTCATCTTCATTCTAGTCCTCACCTCCCCAACTTCAGTCAGCTGTATGAGGGTGTATATATTATGTGTTTGAGGAGCCAAGAAAGGGTTCTACACCATATTATATTTAGTCTAAATATAACTATATCAAGTAGCATTGCAAGACTGACTGACTTAAAAAGAAGTTCATTGCTATCGAGCTTTGGAGTTCCATGCCAAATGCTGAATGGCTCACAGGATAATTTTACTCCTAAGAACAACCACTATGAAACAGGGACCTGCTTTTAAAAAACCCTAAACAGCACCAACAAAAAGCCTAAACAACAACAAAAAAAACCCCACAAAACCTAAAAACAAGCACCTAGGGAATGGAACGAGGTCAGCATTGACTGAAAGCCTGCATGACACACATAACACAGTGTAGTGACTCTCAATCAACAAATACTTTCATGAGCATGACAGCATGTGCATTTCTTCCCATTAAGAGCCCTCTTCTTGAAACATTTTAAGAATATTGAAAGAAATTTGAGGTCTATCACTTGTTCCTTGCCCTATGCACAGACATCTCAATGCCAAATAGAATGCCAGAATAGAATGGTTTGAGTCAGAAGGGACCTTAAAGATGGCAGGGACACCTCCCACTAGATCAGGTTGCTCAGTGCCCATCCAAACTGGTCTGAACACTTCCAGGGATGGGGCTTCCACAACTTCCCTGGGCAACCTGTTCCAGAGTTTCAGCACTCTCATACTAAAGAATTTCTTCCTAATGTCTAACCTAAATCACCCCTCTTCCAGTTTTGATCCATTATTCCTTGTCATCTCACTACAAGCTCTTGTAAAAAGCCCCTCCCCAGCTTTCCTGTAGGCCCCCTTCAGGTACTGGAAGGCCACTATAAGGTCTGCTTAGAACCTTCTCTTCTCCAGGCTGAACAGCTCCAACTCTCTCGGCCTGTTTTCATAGGGGAGGTGCTCCAGCCCTCAGATCATCTTTGTTGCCCTTCTCTGGACTTTCTCCATGAGCTCCATGTCCTTCTTATGTTGGGGGCTATGTAGTAATGAAGCACATAACTTGCAAAGGTGAAGGGTAACAGTGAGGACAGTTGTGATAATGTAAGAAAACAGCACATGTTTTCACTTATCTGACCTGTTGCCTGAAGAATAACCCAACAAGATCAGAAGGTATTTTAAGTGAAAGTTACATGAGTTATATTTATTCATGCCTCTTATTGCAACTGGGCCGTAGAAAAGGAAGTGCAAAACCTGAAAGTTATCAATGTACAGGCTTGGATTTGTTATTAGTGTAGCACCAGCCCAAAGTCATCACAGCTATAACTCCACCAAGACATTAATTTAATTTTAGCATAGAAAAAAAACATAACAAAACAACAGAGAGAAGAGTACTCTTTTGTTACTTTGGAAGCTGCCTATCAGTGCATCAGAAACAGAATACACAGAGAAGCCTAACTAGGACTAAGGTGGAACAAGCTACATGGCTGTAAGGGTGGCAAAGCAGAGAAGTGCTGTATTCCACGAGCAATTCCCTGGACTGTACAAACTGCATTCCACAGAGTACTCTTCTGTAAAATTATATTCTTCATTAAATATCCCACAAAACATGGAAAGCACCAAGGGAAATCTCAAGCTTAGTTTATTTTAGCTATGAAATGAGCTATTAAGCCATAGGAAAATGCTCTTGTGGATAAGTTTATTTTAAAAGTTCGTTTTCTATAGGCTCAAATGGTATTACTAATAACATTTTGATCAAAAAAGAATGTTACCAAACATACATTTATTAACACTTCCAACTTTTCCTGTCTGCGTCTTTTCCTAAATGTCAAACACCATTCTGTTTTGTATTGGCATTATCTTTAGACATTACTGCATAAATATGGAACTCCACTGACATTACCCAAGAGCTCCCCTTCCAATGCATGGCTGAATGCCCAGCAGTCTGTAATTATTTACTGAACCAGTTATTAAGGAATTACCATTCACTCCAAAACCCCCTTTTTTTTTCCCCTTCAATCTCTGTGGAAAGACTGGAATTTGCTACTAATTCTGGGAAACATAATTTTAATTTCCTAACTAATTGCATTTACAGATATTCCTGCATTAAATCTTGCATTTGCAGTCCTACTATTTCCAGCCATTTAAGTGTGGGGTTTTTTTAAGTTGCAGAAACAGTCCTCTGCTACATGCTACTGAGCGGAAACAAGAAGGCTGCAAACCTTATTGCTTCTGCCAACTGAACCAGCAAACTAAAGAAAGCAGTTCTGTGAGCATAAGGACCAATGAAACCTGCTGTCACAGGATTGGATTCCTTGCTCAGTGATAAGATACCATCCCATCTGAAGTCTCCCACAGCTGTGCTTTGTCTTTGTTCCTGTGTAGAGCCACTTTGCCTGATGGTGGGTTACAGTGTGCAATATAATTCAATGATGGCTTCCCAAATGAAATCCCAACTTGACTGCATTCCATAATCATTCAGTGAAAGCAAGTGTTATACAGTGCCATTGCTCTCAAGAGTTCGGAAATGCAAGTACAGAAATCACGTGGCATACCAATATGAATTAAAAATCAGTGTCAGCACAGTTTATGGGCTAGAAGTACCCAGAGTTATTGAATTTAGCCTGAATTTAGGGACTAGCTATGTAGAAAAAGCCCAAAGGCATTTAAAATGCCTTCACTAATTGGTATTTATCATAATTTTAAAAGGAAGACAGAATAACAACAGCACTTGACACATGACTTGTCCATGGGATATGTTGTTGTTGGTTAGCACAGAAGAGCTGCCATTTCCTTGGCAAACTTGCAGTGTAAGAGGTATGATCCTTCAACGTTTACTCCCCCTCCTTCTCCATATATGCTTAATGATGGCATTGAATATGGGATTTTCAAATAAAACTCTCTCAGGCTTTGGCTGCTAAACATTGTATCATGCTCAGCACATTATTTAAATATAATTATCTATATTCAGCTTTCATAAGGGAACAAAAAAATAAAAAGAGAACTTGTCATTTAATAGCATGTCTGTTTGAGAGAAGGTGTGTAATTATGCTTTTAAAATAAATTTTGGTTCCAAATCTAGCCTTAGCTTAGAGACAGGGCTCCTTCCAGTGAGGAGATCGCTCTATTCTATAGCAACCTATACCTAGATTTCTGCCTCATGCATGGTCTGCTACATTGAAAACAGAGGAAAAAAATAACCAAAATATAGTTTGGTTTAACTGTTATAACTTATTTAAACTGTTGTGCTATACAATAGTATTGCTTTTGCACAGTGCTTTCTAGAAAACAGTAATGTAAATGTTGGTCATTTACCTCTTTGACAGCATATTTTTACTGCGAACAGAGTATAAGTTTTACTCATAGTACTAAGAAAATCTTAATGGAAATCAGTGGGCAATTCAACAGGTTAAACAATTAAACAGAACAAATAAAAGAACCACCTGAGATTATTTTATTAACCAGAAAAAAACAATTACAAAGTTGTTTTAAATCTGTATTAAAAAGCACCATGAAGTTAGATAACCCTCAGTTCATAACCTATATGAAGAGATCATTCACTAAGGCAGTTAATACGTTTTCTTTCTCCATTATCTAAGTTATGTTTTATCTAACAAGAT